CTTGTTCTGATCCAGCTCCAGGTCGTTCTAAACACATTCAGGAAACGTTCTAAAGGTTCTAAAGGTTCTAAAGGTTCTAAAGGTTCTAAAGGTTCTGCTCGGTCCTGAAAATGGCACTTTTTCAGTTCTAGTTTCAGTTTCAGTTTCAGAAATAAAACAGAAAAAAAAAAAAAAAAGTTGTGCCCAGGTCCTCAGACCCGAGTCCAAACAGAACCAGACGCTTCATCTCATCCCTCGTTCTTCTCGTTCTTCTCGCTCTTTCTCTCATCCCTCGCTCTTCTCGTTCTTTTGTTTTAGCCGCGAGACGGGACGGAGGGCTTTTGGGGCGAGGACCGTTCTGAGCGCGCCCGGACACATGCCCATATTTGGACGGTGCAATTAGAGCGGCCCAGTCATTTCCTGCGCCGCGCTCGGCCTCAGAACGCTGAGCTCAGCTGAACGCCGCCGCCGCCGCCAAAAGACGAGAGGAACGAGGGAGGAGAGAAGGAAGGAGGCGGAGCGAGAGGAGGAAAGGAGGAAGGAGAGAGAGGGGGGCTCAGCTGAACATGTTCTGCCAAAAAGACGAGAGGAGAGAGGGAAGAGAGAGGAGAGAGAAGAGAGGCTGAACATACACCAAAAAGAGGAGGAAAGGAGAGAGGGAGGAGGAAGACAAGAAGAGGAGGAAGAGAGAAGGAGAAGAGGGAGGGAGGAGGGAGAAGGGAGGGAAGGAGGAAGGAACGATGTGGAGGAAAGGAGGAAGGATAGAGAGAGACAAGAGAAGAGAGGGAGGAGAAGTGGAGGGAGGAGAGTCAACGGAACGAGCGCTGCCAGAAAATAAAAAAGACGAGAGGAGAGACAGAGTGGGGAAGAAAGAGGAGGAGAGAGAGAGAAGAAAGGAGGGAAATGTTCTGCCAAAAAGACGAGGAGAGGAGAGAGGGAGGAGTGGAGGACGGAGAGAGAGCGAAGGAGAAGAGAAGAGAGGAGGAGAGAGGAGGAAAGGAGGAGGAATGAGAAAGAGAGAGAGAGTGAGAGGAGAAACTGAACACATATTACCAAAAAGAGGAGAGGAGAGAGGGAGGAGAGAAGGAGGAAGAGAGGAGAGCCAACGGAAAGAGCGCTGCCAAAAAAAAAAAAAAAAACGAGAGGAGAGACAGAGCGGGGAAGAAAGAGGAGGAGCGAGAGAGAGAGAGAAGAAGGGAGGGAAATGTTCTGCCAAAAAAACGAGGAGAGGAGAAGAGAGAGAAGTGGAGGAGCGGAGAGAAGGACTCAACTCAAAAAAAAAAGAGAGGGGGGGCGTCAGATGAATGAACGTGTGCCAAAAAGAGGAGAGGAGAGAGGGAACGAGAGAGGAGGAAGAGGAGGAGAGAAAAACTGAACACAAACACACGGCGGCCAAAAAAAAAAAAAAAAGAGGAGAAAATCAACGGGACAGAAATAAAAATAAATCACAGACACGAGCCAAAAGAAAGAAAAGAAGAAGAAGAAGAAGAAGAAGAAGAGAGGAAAGAGAAGGATGAAAGAAAGAGAAGAGAGAGAGAGGAGGAGAAGAGAGGAGGGATTTCTGCACAAAAACACCGAGTCTCCACGACCTGCAGCAGCAAAGAACGACTCGAGTTTCATCATTTTACGAAAAATTTAACACAAAATTTAAACCTTTAAAATGTTTAAGACCTGGTTTAGACCTGGTTTAGACCTGGTTTAGACCTGGTTTAGACCTGGTTTAGACCTGGTTTAGACCTGGTTTAGTCCTGGTTTAGTTTGGTTCTGGTATAATTCTTGTTTTTTGGGGGGTGGGGATTGATTATTAAAGAAATGTATAATAATTTTTTTTTTTTTTTTTTTTTTGCAGCAAAGACGAAGCAAATAATTTGGTTTGGAAAATATATTTTTGTTCATTCTTAGATTTTGTTCCTTTTTCTCTCTTTAAGTTGATGCAACAAAATAAACACACGAGCAAAAAATACATAAAAATAAATTCAGTTTAAATTTCCAAAGATTAAAAACAAACAAACAAAAAACAACACACACCTGGAGTTGAGTTCACACGTTGAACACATGAACCCTGCACACGTTCATTCAACTTCCACCAGTGTTAATTCAACTTAATTTAGGTTGAGTTCACAACAAAGAGTGTTGTGTTAAAATTGACTCTCACAGAGTCAAATGTAACACTTTCTCAGAGTTTATATGAGTTCACTCTGTTCTAGAGTTAATTTAACATTTTTGGAAATGTTCATTAAGTAAAACTGGACCAAAGTTCCTGTTTAACCCAAAATCCAGAGTTATTTTAACGTTCTGAGAGTAAACAGAAAACACTTTGTAGAGTTATCCTGATTTAACTCAACAACACACAGAGGTGTTTTGTTTTTACACTTTATTTGAGTTAATTTAAGATGAAATTATGAACAAAACTGGTTCAAACTGGTTCTTCACTGGAGGGAGTTTGAAGTGGAGGGAGGAAACAAATTAACACTAGAGGAAGTTGAATTAACACTAGAATAAGTCAAATTCACTTCAACCAAATCAACTCTGGCAAATAACCCCAAATCGAACCTGAATTTAACTTTCAAATAGTTAAAATAACACTTTCTGTGTTAAAAACAACTCTGAAATATTTTACTCTCAAATTTCAACCCTCCAGTTTCCAAAAACCGGCACAAATTCCGACGTTTCAGTTCTACAAATTCCCTCAGAACAAAACCGTGACAGGTTTTTCTCCGAGTCTCTCCTCTCTTTGCTCTCCATGCTAAGTCACTCCCCCTTCAGAGCGCCGTCCCAGCACGTCACGTCAGGTTTGTCCAGTTTTGCATCGTTTTTTTTTTTTTTTTATATATTTATGGAGACTTTTCTTGACGTAGGATTGTGGGCGGAGTCTCGTACTACTGAGGAGGGTTTGAATAGGGCCCGAGACAGATCTCTAGATGACTCAAACATGCGTGGATGAGTCTCGAACCTCTTCAGACAAGTTTGTGACGAGGGAACGACGAACGCCAAATATAAAAAGTTCTCCACATCCCAACATCTCAACACAACATCATCCGGGACGAAAACCGGGACCGGACCAGAACTCAACCAGGATTTAAAGATCTGGTATCACACAAACCGGACTCCTGAGAGGTTTAAGTCCTGTTCTGATTTTGTTTCCTTCTCAGAATCAGAGCTGGACTTGTGTTTCTTTCATTCACACACGTTTGAGTAAATAAGTAGCTCTAAACGCTCTGCTCCACCTTGTGATGTCATGAAGTGGTGAGAGTTCAGTGTAAATCTGCAGAGTTTGTGCGTTAACTCTTGTTTTGTGTTAAAAAACTGCACACATCTTTCCCAGTTTAGTCCTGGTTTAGTCCTGGTTTAGTCCTGCTTTAATCTTGGTTTAGTCCTGGTTTAGACCTGGTTTTTGGGGTGAGGATTGATTCTTAAATAAATATTTAATTTTAATCTATGAGTGGAGCAGGATTTAAAAGATTTTTTTTTTCTTTTTTTTTTTTAAAGATCTGATTTTTTAAGAATCTGATCTTTTTACGATGAACAGTAGAGACGTGTGTGTGGAGTTACGGGTCAAAACCGACCTGAGTAGATTTATGTTTGGATAAAAACAAAAAGTCAAATCCTTTTCATAAAAAAACAACTTTATGTAATCAGAAATGCAAATGTAACTGAAAATTGTGTGTGAGTGTGTGTATAGGGGCAGGTGTGTGTGTGAGTGTGCGTGTTTGTGTGTGTGTATCTGTTTGTGTGTGTGTGTTTTGACCCATAACACCACAAATGTCACTTTTTTTTTTTTTTGGACACTTTTAGGATTTACTAAAATGAAATAAAATAAATTTTGTTGCGATAAAATATTTGTACTTCTCACAGACCTGAACCTGAGAAACCTGAACACAAAACAAGAGCGAAACACGAAACACAACTCCAGGTGTGTGTACGTGTGTGTGTGTGTGTGTGTGTGTGCGTGAGTGTGTGTGAGTGGACAGTGTGAAACGGAAGCGGAATCTTGAAATGCCAAATCTTCACGTTTCACTTTTTAAACACGACAGAAAGGAAAAAGACTCGAATCTGAAGCGATAAAACTAAACGGGAATCACACTTCAGAACACGTGGGAGGGCATCTGACACACACACACACACACGGAGAGGGAACCTGACACACACACGGGGGGAGACACACGTTAGAACGTTTTTGGACATTTCATCTGTGGAGGAAATTACGAAACCAAAGTGTGAAACTCCAAACGCCTGGAAACATTTGGCCGTTTCAGCTCCGGAATTTCAAATCTCTAAAGGTAAAAAGGACCACTTCATGACATCACGAGGTGGAACAGAGCATTTTGAGCGTTGGATATAAAAAAACAGACTGATCATAAGGATGTGTGAATGAAACAAAACACAAGTCCAGGTGTGTTTTCGGAGGATCAGAACACGACGTGAAGCTCACACGAGTCAGTTTGGAATCGTTTCAGAATCAGGCGAACGAAATCACTTCTGTCTTTCTCAAAACTGAGCTACTTCGTCCACCTGAACCTGATCTCAAGGCCCGGCGTCCTCGATTGGCAAACATTCCCTTTCGTGAGCGCGGATCGTCAAAACCGTGGTGGCCTCCAGAAGCCGAGCGTGAACCTTCCAAGGAGCCGCGACCCTCCAACAAATCTTCAGGATCGTTCGAATATTCAGACGTGACATTCGGAGCAAAACGGAGCCACGGCGGGTCCGGAGCCAACCGCAGGCCTCCCTCTCCTCCTCTCTCTTCTCCACCTCACGCTGCATCTCACTCGCTCTTTCTCAGGAGGCTCGAGGAGAACCGGAGGAGCCAGCGCGGACCTCCGGCCGCAACCTCGACGCGAATCGGGACCACGGAGAGCTCGAAACGTGACCATCTCAGGTGGTTTCAGCCAAAAATAACCCAGGTTCAGTCCCGTCCGCTCACACAGACCACACCTCACACACACACTCCCCCCTCCAGCCCCCAGCCCCGCGTGCCCCCACCTGAACCCCGGTACCTGCGCTCCCCCTGCCCGCTCCTCCGCTCCTCCTCAAAGGATATGGCCACTCCGTGATCTTCTTGGCGTACTTCCTCACCACGTTGTCCTCGCTGAAGAGGAACAGGGATCGGTTGACCGTGAGGCAGCTCTGGCGCACGGGGATGGGGTTGTACAGCGCCATGGTCCTCGCTCTCTGGGCCATGGACTGCTTGTACATCCGCTGCGCTCCCGGGGGTCCTCCCTGCCTGCTGCCGCCGCGGTTGGGCCCTTGTCCGCCGGCCGGTCCCCCGCCGCCTCCCGCCCCTCCTCCGCTGTACCTGTTGGGCATCTCGTCTCCGAAACGCGCCATTCTGCAAACACCGAGAGGTCAGCCGGGCCCTCCGAGTGCCCGCTCCACATGCCCACCCTCCCCCGGCAGTGCACCCGCTCTGCTCCGGCGTGTCCGTGCGTCTTCAGCGCCTAGCGGCCCGCTCCATCTGCCGCGCGGGAGGGAGGGGGAAGGGCGCCTCTGTCTCCCGTCGGAGCTGCGGCTGCGCTGGGCTCCGAACGGACCCGAGAAGCGCGTGAAAGTGAAGAAGCTCAAGTGTCGAAAATGGAAAATGTCCGCGCGCTCAGATGTGTCCACGGAGAACCGCGAGCCCGCGCGCGGTGCACGAGGAGCGTGTCCACTGCGTCTCTTCGCTTCTCCACATCCGCAGTTCCCTCACCCCTCCCTCGGCCCCGCGCACAGCCGCTCCGCCAGATAAAAATAGCAAAAAAAGATATGAGTGAAATCTTTAATAATTCATTTTTTCTTCTCGTCTCGTGCCATGTATCCGCAGTGTGTGGCGAGGACGCGCGCGCCCCTCACTCGTCGCTCGCGCGCTCCTTTTCGCTCACGCGGCGCCACGACGAAGGGGGCTTCCCCAAAATCCGCGCGCGGTGACATTTGTTGATATTTAGTGATGGACGGTGCGGCATCCCCCCTCCTCTCTCCTCCCTCTCTCCCTCTCTCTCTCCCTCTCTCCCTCTCTCCTCTCCTCGCTGCTCTCTCCTCCCTCTCTCCTCCTCCTCCTCCTTCTTCTCCACCAAAGCGCAGCGCGCTGCTTTTGGGCGTAGATTGCGCGCACTTGGAGTCGGGAAAACACGGCAGGTTTCGAGCCCGGCGCGCGGCGCGCTCCCCTCCCCCCGCGCGGAAACGCGTCAGGAGAAAATCAAGAGTCCATCACCAAAAGCTCGTGCGGAGTCCGGGCGCGGGGCGGAAGGATCCGGACTCAGGAGCGGGGCTCGTGGTGCTCCGCCGGCGGGTACGGACCGCGCCGCGTCCCCGCCCTGCAGCGTCGCCCCCGCGGCCTCGGTGCGGCCTCGGTGCGGCCTCGGTGCGCTTCTGTGGCCGCCGTCAGGGCTCCGGCTCCCGCAGAGGCAGCTCCGTGTCGCGCCGCGGTGGATGTGGAGGAGCGGAGGGTACGTGCCCCCTCCCCCTCGCGCGCGCCGCTCCTGTCCGCGAGACCCCAACCACGAACGCGGCGCGAGGGTCCGGGGCGAGCCAAGTACGACCCCCGGCTCCAAAATACTCGAGTACACGTTACACGTTACACCCCGCGAGACCAGAGGCACGAGCGACCCAGACTGACACGTGCGCAAATGAACCTGAGGGGGACCGGGGAAGACCTGGTCCAGTCCTGGTCCAGTCCTGGTTTAGTCTTGGATAAGACCTTTTTAAGACCTGGTTTAGTCCCGGTTTAGTCCTTGTAGAGACTTATTTACACCTGGTCCTGGTTTGGACCTGAAACCTGGTTTAGTCCAGATTCAAACCTTGTGAAGTCCACTCAGTCCAGATCTAGTCCTGGTTTAGACCAAGTGTCCTGGTCCCTTGAAAGAAAAACTAACTCAAAGAGAAGATCTGGTTTAGTTCTGGTTTAGTCTTTAAAGAGACATGTTGGGAGGTTGTGGGTTCAACTCCCTCTTCTCTCCATTCCTCTCTTCTCTCCTCCCTCCATCCCTCCCTTTTTCTGTTCATCTCTTCCTCTCGCTTCCTCTCCTCCTCCTCCCTCCCTCCATCACTCCATCCCTCCCTCCCTCCTTCCCTCCCTCCGTCCTTCCCTCCCTCCGTCCTTCCCTCCCTCCGTCCTTCCCTCCCTCCGTCCTTCCCTCCCTCCCTCCTTCCCTCCCTCCGTCCTTCCCTCCCTCCGTCCTTCCCTCCCTCCGTCGTCTCCATCTGTCCCGTTGGCACTCGTCCGTCTCTTTCTTCCCGTTTTCAGACGAGTGTTTGTGGAGCGTCTCAAAATGGACGAGGCTCAGACCCGAGTCCAGATTTAAAAATAAAAAAATCTTTTAAAAACGTTTGGACCATTTTTCTCTTTTACCACAGTCCAGATTTACTTGAATTTAAAACTGGATCCACGGGCCACGATCCACTTCCTGAGCCGAGTCCGACCAGCGGAAGGACCAAGATCTGGACCTGGTTCAGTCCTGGTTTAGTCCTGGTTTAGACCTGGTTCAGTCCTGGTTCAGTCCTGGTTTAGTGTTGGTTTAGTCCTGGTTTCAGTCCTGGTTTAGTCTTGGTTCAGTCCTGGTTCAGTCCTGGTTTAGTCTTGGTTTAGTCCTGGTTCAGTCCTGGTTTAGTCCTGGTTCAGTCCTGGTTTAGTCTTGGTTCAGTCCTGGTTTAGTCCTGGTTCAGTCCTGGTTTAGTCCTGGTTCAGTCCTGGTTTCAGTCCTGGTTTAGTCAGTCCTGGTTTAGTCCTGGTTTAGTCCTGGTTTAGACCTGGTTCAGTCCTGGTTCAGTCTTGGTTTAGTCCTGGTCCGTGGTCTTGGACCATCTGGACTTTATCTTTGCCACAGTTTCCTCCATCTGCTCCTCGAGCCCCAAAAACACCTCACAGACAAATTACTAGAAGTAAAAAATGCTACTACTACTACTACTACTACTACTACTACTACTACTAGCAGTAGTAGTAGTAGTAGTAGTAGTAGTAGTAGTAGTAGTAGTAGTAGTAGTAGTAGTAGTAGTAGTAGTAGTAGTAGTAGTAGTAGTAGTAGTAGTAGTAGTAGTAGTAGTAGTAGTAGTAGTAGTAGTAGTAGTAGTAGTAGTAGTAGTAGTAGTAGTAGTAGTAGTAGTAGTAGTAGTAGTAGTAGTAGTAGTAGTAGTAGTAGTAGTAGTATTAGTAGTATTAGTAGTAGTAGTAGTAGTAAAAAAAACATTTTGAATAAAAATCTAAATGTGTAAAAAAAAATCTAAAATAACAATGTTCATATTAATGTTAAATAAAATATAATAAATAAAAATGAATAAAAACACAAATGTAAAGTTTTTAAAATATTTTTTTTAAAAATTAAACATTTTTAAAATCTGTCTTTTAAAGTCTCATGTGACTTTGGGGCTGAGTTTTGTTTCACACGTTTTAACTCACAAACTCTGCACATTTACACTTTAAAGTTCTTCTCTCAAACTGTAAACACTCTGTTCCACTTTGTGATGTCATCATGTGGCGATACAGGAAGTGCTCCTTTGTGTTTTTAAACTCCACACACCTTCAGTAGAATCATCTGGATCATTTAAAAAAATCTGGAGTTTCTGATCTCGGCTGAACTAAAAGGGAAAAAGAGCTGAGAACTATCAAACATTATCACTTCATGACATCATGAGGTGCGACACCGACAGCGTTTGGACTCGGTCTTGTCTCTCACTCGAGGTCTGACACTCAACAAGTGTGATCATGTTTCATTCCGGCCGCTGCTGTTGGTAATAAACTTGTAGCGGGTGCAGGAGCGTGTGGGGCGTCTCAGTTCGGCCTGTGCGCTCATTTGAAACCCGCGGAGACTCTACGGCGCATCACAAACACACACGCTCCCTATGCACGGCTCGTCTGCGACAGCGTGTGCCCTCGTGTACCAGCGTGCATCACAGGGCAGGTTCAACTTCCTAAACATCCTACCTGTCCACCTGCCTCACGTCAGCACGCCGCCCCTCGCCTTTTCACGCTCTCGCTCCTTCCTGCGTACAGCCAACACAAGCCCCTCCCACAGTGCGGCTGATTAGAAGAACAAGACCAAACGTGAAGCAAAAACCAGTCTAAATTTGTGTTCCAGTGTTGGCACAAAGCAGGTCTACAGCATAGAGCGGATCTACAGAACAGACCTACTGCCACATTTGGTTGAAGTTTGTTTAACAAAAGTGACAAATGCATCTGTGTTTGTCACGATGTGCGTTTGGTTTGGTAAACGTGCAGAGGCTGGTAAATATCACTGCAAAACCACAAAAGAATGAAACTCCAGTTTGGAACTTTAAAAAACAGGTTTAAAAATCTTCCTTCACGTTTTTCACAGTTTTGTGTAAAGTGCCAGAGGAAGTTCTCTTAAAGAAGAGGTTCTCAAACTGTGGGGGAGGGTCCAAAAAAGGGCCACAGAGTGTTTCAGTGCAGTTTGTTTGACTTTGTATCAGGTCGATCATTTTGACTTGGTCATTTTGTAAGAAGCTCACATGATGAAAAAGTGTGAACATCCCTGATCTACAACAACAAACATCAACTTTACAAGAAACGGACAGTGTTGTGGAGTAACAGATTACATGTACCGGAGTAATCAGAGTACAAATGATGAGTAACTGTATTCAGTTACAGTTACTGTTTCAGTGAGTGGTAATTGGATTACAGTTACTTTGTTGAAATAAGTGGATTACACAGAGGGATTTTCCTGTTTTCACAATTTGGGCTAAATCCCTTTTTTTATATATTTTTTTATTTTTTTCGGTAATTCCACTCATTGCCGGAAACTAAACCAGGACTAAACCAGGTCTAAACTAGATCTAAACCAGGACTAAAACAGGTTTTACCAGGACTAAATCCTGCTGTGTGGACGTGTTTCTTCGTTTTCTATCAATAATATTTTTAATTTGGTTCAGTAAAATCTGGACTTTTTATTTTCTTTTATCAGACAAAACTTCTTATGTGAAGATTTCCTCGTCTTTGTTTCTCTACAACAAATCAAGTAATCCAAAGTATTCAGATTACATTACTCACTTTAAGTAATTTAATGGATTCTGTTACAAACTACATTTTGGTGTGTGTAATCTGTAATCTGTAGGGGATTACATTTTAAAAGTAAACTTCCCAACACTGGAAACGCCTGAAGGAAAACGCAGGTGGAGTGAAACGTGAGCGTGTTTGACGCAGCTCCACAGACGCGGCTCGTTATCACCGCAGAACATCGTCTCTAATGTTGTCGACTTTTGTGATTTAAACAGAATTCATCCAATCAACAACAACAACAAAAAAACGCAGCAGTAACAGAGTTTTTCAGATCTGTGTCTCTGGACTAAAAACTCTTTAAAAACTCGAACGTTTGCGGGTTTCATTTCTTTCCTTGTGGCTGAAGCTTGCGGCGTAAACCGGAGCAGAGGGAGAGCGGGGAGCGACCGGGAGTGACGGGAAAGACCAGCGTGTGGGGGGGGGGGGGGGGGGGCGAGATTACTCAATAATAACAGTAACAGAGGGAGTTTTGTGTCGCTGTGTGAGAGAAACGGCTCTGAGTCACAAGTGAGTAACAAGAGACATAAAAAAAAAAAAAAAAACTCTCCTTCAAAACTCTCCTGGAGCTTTTCAGGTTTTTGTCATTTACTGTAAATTTCTCTGATCTGTGCCATGATTTTAAAACTTCTCGTTCTGAGACGCTTCAAGGTTGTATGGAGGATTTTTTTTTTTAGTTGCAAATTGTCAGTGAAAGTTTAAAATACCAACACAGAGACACTGCAGCCTTGTAATTATGACGACCAAAAAAAAAAAAAAGAATGAAAATCTATCAACTGTGGACGTGTTGAGGCCAGATAAACATCAGCCAATAGCTAACGAGGCTCCCTCATTTTCTATTGGCTGTTAGGTTGTCACTCAAACTCCCTACGTTTCTAGTGTAACTGATTCGTTGGAGCGCGGGGATTATGTGGTTTACGCAGCGGTTCTTAGAGGCTTTTTCAAACTGTCGCTTCCTCGCATTTCGCACCAAGTTTGTCGCGACGGCGGACGAGAATCCACGACCAGTTCGCCGCAAAAGAAAGTCCGTTTTTGAGGTCGCTGAAAGAAGAAGAGAAGAGGAAAAGGAGCGAAGCCAAACTGAGGTGATTCTTGGAGATTCCTTCCAGCGATGGCGCGACCGAAGCAGACGAAGGGTCTAAAAACTGACGCGTCGGTCGCTGAAATATTTCTAGACAGGAAACTTCAACGGTGATTCTGAACACGTACTGGATGTAAACAAACGTGATTTCTAGAGTAAAGAGGCGGGAGGAGGTGTTTCCACTGAGGAGGCTGTGGAGGAGGAAGGTGGTGTCACATATGCACAACATTTGAAAAAGGACGGCCGCTGTATTTCACTTCCCTTAAAAAAATCCTCTATACAACCTTTCATTCTCGTCTGGAGGTCGTTGGTTTGAAGATGATCTCGCTGCGTGGACACATCGTTTCACTGCTTTTAAAATGATTTCCAGATAGATTTAAGCGTTCAGATCGTTTCAGACTTTATTTTTAGTCTGTCTTTGGGGCGTAACGTGTGTTTGTGTTGAACCAGCATCGAATAAAGCGTCGAATTATTCTTATTTAACGCGTGGAATGATTCTACATGTGATGACGATCCTCCCACTGCTGAGTCTGTGTGTTTCTTCTTCTCCTCCTTCGACAATCGCACACAGACAATTAAATAATCGACTGTTTAAACAGCGACAAACTGAAAAGAGAAACGAGACCATTTTAAATTTGATCAATGATTTACACAGTGCAGTGTCGGGGAGTAACAGATTACATGTACCGGAGT